ACTTTTTTTATGCGTAATTTATAGTTCTTCGATAGTTTTGGTTTACTCAGAAAAAAAATGTAGTGTGTAATGTGTACATACCTAATTAGTTTTAATTTAATTTAATTTTTTAGCTATGTTAAATATTATCGCACATATTATCATGACAAAATAAACAATTATTTTGTCATGTATATTATTATAAAGTATGTAGAATTCATAGACCTAGGTACTAGTATACTAAGGCACTAGTATAAGAGTTCTCAGAGGCGTACTCAGGAGTTTTCAATGGGGGGGTTGAACATTTTGTTTTTTATCACTGGGACTTTGTCACCTTCTTTTTAAAAATATTCTTACTTACCTATCTAATCTTACAGTTCTTAACAGATAATGCATGCAATCGTTATATATTGCATGTTGACATACGATTTAAAATAGATATGTTTTGTTTATTTTTTCCTTTTAAAAAAAAATTTTTTTTTAGAAAATTGCTGTTGTGAGGCTGTGAGTTATATTATACATAGGGGAGAGGTGGCCACAATGAGACACTAAAAATTACTTTTTAAATATTGTTTTTGTTTTAAGTGATAATCCTTCAACAGCGTTATGGGTTGAACTCTGGCTTTTGGGTCCGAAGAAAAAAATGTGAAAAAATGTCTAAGTCCATATCACTGCCAAAATATTATCACTAAAGCAATACTACGCAGTGTTGCCATAACAATAATTTTATATACCACAATAATAATTTTATACTACGTGATCAAATTAAATCCAAATTAATATTTCAACATAAAATTGTGTATATTGTTATAATATCGACTTTTCACRTGGCTTTTGGGTCCGGGAAAAAATGTCGAAATATCGAAAAACGTCTAAGAGGTTTTTTATTCGTATACCATATTAGAAAAACATCCGGTAGTCGGATTTTTGATTTATTGATTTTCAGAAGCCAGAGTTCAACCGCGTTATGGTTTTATTCTAAATATTATTGAGCATTAAAAAACATATTAATACATTCTAAAATTTAACGAAATTTCAACCCAGAGAAATTTTTTTTTTAAATGTCATAGTGTTTCACTTTGACCCAAGCTTGTACACAAAGAGACACGTCACGGGGCACTATGGTACATAATATAAAACCTTTTAAATTTGTAATTTATCTTTTATATTTAWAMTTTTCATTTCACAACATTTATATAATATGATAAAACAATTAAAGAGAATTTTTTTAACAAATTTTAAAATAATTAATTGTGTTTTTGACTTTTTGTACAATTAAAAAAATGCAGGTGTTCACTTTGTTTATTTCAATAGTTTTATGTTTAAGTTTTAAAAATTAAATAAAAATCATAACCTAATATCACTTTATTATGATCACAAGTTATTTCAACAGTCTTGTTTTAGAGTTAACTGATGTTGGGTACAGCGAGACAACAGTATTTATTTGTCTCAATATGTACTGTCTGATGTCTCACTGTATACCGATCTATTATTTTGCAGATTTTTTATTATTCTCGTATGAATATTTATGATAAACAATTGTGCACAAGAAAAATTTAATTTACACATACCTAAAAATACGTAACTTTGAATAAAATTCGATACCAAAATTGAAAAAAACGAAGCTCACATTTTTCACGTTTTGATAACAAAAAATAACAATATTATGATAAGATGATAGTATCATTTTTGACCTGAACTTACTAATAGCACGGATATAGCTACTAGTATATATATCCGTGACTAATAGTTAACCATTATGTTTATTATGATTTTATGAATCTTYTGGATTCTCMATCTGATGGTTAAATATTAAATTAGTCGACTTATATTTAATGGATCACTGTGCCCCGTGTTTCACTGTGGCCACCTCTCCCCTAAGAACGAACGCACAAGACTACATAGGTTAGTGAGGTCATGGAGGAGGTTCAAACCCCACG